TGGATTGTTGTTGTATAGGAATGATAGTGTTTAGTAAGCATTAATTTGTGATAGAAAAATTGAAAAGCCCTAGTGCACTTTTCCCCTAGGTTTCGGCCTTCATGGCTTATATAGGGTTCATCATGCAAATTTTTATTGTATGTTTGAAAAGGTAAAATATGTTGGAATGTAGTGTAAATGGATTAATTGGTGGAAATGCCAAAGTTAGAAAAAATCCTACAAATACTTGCTCTATGTTGCGAACTATAGGATGTTTAGGGGTATATATATATTGGTTACATTTTATTCTAATAAAATGGGTTGCATTTTAATATACCAATGGATGAGCTAAGAAGTGAAATGCTTTGACAAATAGTTGAAAAATACCTTGAGTCCCTAAGGGTACGCCCGCGACTTTTAAAGAAAAATAACATGATTTATGTGAAAAATTCTTAAGTAAATGCTTGATTAAATTAAAGAACGCCAACGGGTGTATAGAGGTCTAGACTTGTGTATTGGCATAGAATTGGCAAAAATATAAAGAAAGGAAAATAAGCGATAAAATGTATGCTTATGAAATAATCATGGTATTGCATCATTTTATTGATGCATTGTAAATTATTCTCTAGGTGTGCCTAAGGATTGAGAAGGATCGGAAATCTCTTGAAGCGATAAAAGTAACTTGTTCCACAAGTAAGCGTATTGGTAAAGCTTCAAGAGGTAAGCTCTATGTTTAAGGAGTCTTTTCCTGCTTGAGTGCTCCACCATGGTTAGTGAACTATGGTTGGACTGTATGACTGTGATTTAGATGCTTTGTATAGATGCATTCATATAGAGTTATTTGATAACGTGATATGTTTTGCTCTGATATGACTTCTGTAATTTGATTTCTGTAACAATCTCTGGCCATTGATTGTATAGTACCCGGACGTCCGCTTTGGGGTCCTCCCTCGGGACTGATGGTGTACTCCTCTGATATGTCTGGTTCCGCTTTGGGGTCCTCCCTCGGGAACACGTGCGTTGATTTCCGCTTGGGGTCCTCCCTTGGGAATGACGGCGCACATCTCTGATATGATATGGATATATGCTCTGTTCTGTTATGATATCTGTTATATGTTGTATTTGTATACTCTGTATCTGAATTTCATGCAGGAGTGAGCCAGGGGTATGGAGAATTCTCTATAAACCTGGAGCTTATTGAGATTTGTAATCTCACCCCTCTTTGGGGACACATTTTCAGGGGCCCAGATTTCCGGTGAGTCCTCACTAGGCAGGGACACGACACGTGGCTGAGGCAGTTGACAGACCGGATTTTGAGTGGCTGTAGGCTACTACCTTTTTGGAGTGTTTGATGTATTTTAGTATTTTCGCATTTGATGGATCATGATATTGATCCTTTATTTTGTATATGGCCTGTATATGTTTTGTACATGTCTATCAGTTTGATGCATGTACATTTGAGTATTCAGGAACGTTATATGATGATGTAGTATTCAGATAGGTTTATGTTTTGATGGCATGCTGTTAGATTTAGTGGCACGGAGCCATGTTATGCATGCGCCCATGTATGGGTATTTGATTATATTTGGATATCTGGTATTTCTGAATTGATATGTTGTATAAACTGTTTATCAGGAAATGCTTCTGAGTGGGATTGGAAAATCCCCAGTTGTCCGATTTATAGAGGAAACTCTGCCCGATTTTCGTTTACGCCGAGTAAGAATTAAGTTAGAAAAAGAAAAAGTTAGCTCATATTTTTGTAAGTTAAGTCTTCCGCTGTTTCTGTTTGTATCATATGTATGTTAATTGAACCGGCTCGAGACGGGGATGTTACACATATCTTACATTATATTGCTCCTTCCTAAGTAGTCAAGGATAAAGGTTGCATTGTATATTCACCTGGCTTCTCAAGTTTCTTTTCCATTAGACATATGGTCTGCCCAAGTATTATTGCCCACATTATGAACATTGTAGAACCAACGATGATGCCTGAAGCATATTGCTGAACGGCAATTATTCTCATTACAGTCATGCAGATCAAGATCACTGTAAATCAATATGCAAGCACTTTCAAACAATTCAGAGAAGAGAAGAAAAATGTATCTTTTGAGCACAGCCATACAAAAGGAAGGTCAACGACAGGTTATATCCTTAGAACAAAAACAGGCCAAATAAATGAGCTGAATATGTAAAGCCATGAGAATAAGAACCAAAGGTTTTTTTTATTTTTCTTTTTCTTTTTTTCATTTTTATTATTGCAATGATTAACATTAAAGCTGTTTCATTTGTTTTCTAACACATTTCAATGAAAAAGCTGAAATCAGAAAGGCAGAAGCAAAGCAAAATACAATTCCTTGAAGGAGGTAGTGATTTATAGAGTTCTTGTCCTCCATATGTGAGCTTTCTCATGAGGTCCATGATGTTAACAATTCAAAGCAAATAGCCATTTCCATTTTTTGACATACTGCCTTGCCTCTAACAATGAGTTTGTCACTTTATTTTCAGAACATGAATTTTTATTAATTGCTGATAAATCTTCAAGAGGCGAATTCCTTTCCTCATAAAAAGCAGGTTGTTTTGGCTCAGATGACATGTCTGGCCTGTCTTCTGGACTTTGTTGCACATATAACAGACCAATATGTATGCATCCGCAGTACTTCAGATGCATCAGGCATGTCGCGAAACGAATCATCAATCAGATGCAAGTGTCTCTTTTCAACCCACAATCTCCAATTCTGAATCACATAATCAACAAGGTATGTAAGCATATGTTGATCAGTCTGGCATGCATCTCCTTTTGAAGAAGCATGGTTCTAATAAAAACATATCATTGGACAAGATGCAAAATGCTTTTTGGAATCAAGTGTACTATGTACAGTATTTCTATAACAATCACAGTCCATATTTATTTAAGTTTCATATCCTTACATGTCCAAGAAGGTTAAGCTGGTGCTCCGGGTCACTGAAACCTCTATTCTTCTTGCCACTTACTATCTCTAGTACCAAAACTCCAAAGCTAAAGACATCTGAGATTTTTGGATTCATATCATTATCTAGTAGAACATTGCTAGCTTTAAGATCTCTATGGATAATCCTCATTCTAGAGTCTTGTTGAATATAGAGGAGCCAACGAGCAATGCCGCAAATAATGTGGATGCGTTTTTGCCAATTTAGTAATTTGCTTCTTGTTTGATCTAAAAGGATTTAATTTGTTTACAAAGTTAGTGCATTACCATAACGTGTTTGAAAGTGTCAAATGATGATAATAAATGCAGGATGGTTAATACCAAATATAAAGAAGTCCAAGCTTTTGTTAGGCAAATATTCGTAAACTAACATTTTCTCTTCCTCCTCAAGACAAGAACCAAGAAGCTTGACAAGATTACGATACTGAAGTTTGGCAATTGTGTTAACTTCATTTTGACCAGAATTCACGGAGAGCCTCTTTACAGCTATATCTTGTCCACCCATTAACGTACCCTGAAAATATTAACATCCAAATTAAATTTGTAATTTGTAGAATATGATAATTTTTCTTGTTAACGTTATTAGATTACCTTGTAAACAGGCCCAAATCCACATTCACCCAGTTTGTTGTCACTAGAAAAATTGCTCATTGCATTAGCTATAGTTCTGAAATCCATGTCTTCCTTTCTTTGTCCATTCGTGCATTTTCATTGTCATTCCTGAATCAGTAGGGAAAAGAAATTGGCTTGAAGTGAGGACAAGAAAACGTTCATTGAAAAAATGATCCACAATTTAATCACATGAAATTCACTAAGTAAGCTTTTGGAAATCCACAATTTAGCCAGATATTGGAAATTCAATCAATTATCAACTTATCATTCAAATTTGCCTCTCTTTCTTCTGCTATCCCTTCGTTTATAGATAAACAGTCCAAGCGTGAGCATGCTAATGATCTATATACCACAGCCAACAATAATCCCCACTAGCTCCTTCTTGTTAGAATGAATTATTTTCTCTACATTATCTGAGAAAGTTAAAGCATACTTAGTAGGTGATTCAAGCACCTTTTGATAAAATTCTACTTGTCTCTGGACTTCAATATTTTACTTTGTCACAAATAAAGATTCAAGAAAATAGTCAGAACAGGGGATTGAATATTAACATGTTGGAGACAAACTGATAAACATAGGATTTCTTGTTCATCATTGCTTCAACATATATTAATAAGGTAGGAAACGAAGCCAGGTAGAGTTGTATCGATCTGTATTTTCTTATTTGAACTTTTAGAACTACCAAAAATATCCAATTGAATGATAAGCAGTTCTCAAAAATCAATGCACCTACATTAAAAAAAAATACATAAATTAAGGATATAAAAATTACCAAGATCTGAAGCAGCTACTCGTATATAAAGGTGTTGCCCACCCTAGCTAGATTCATTTATATCGATCAGATTGGCAAACCAAAGCAAGCAACCACTTCCTTCAATATTTAAATTTGCATAAGCAGTGCATGAATAGTTTCTCAAACACAACTGCTCACACTCTTTAAGGTTCATGGTTTTATTGAACAAGGAAGAAGATGTATCAGGCAATTTAACTCCTGGGTACCTGAAGAAGCCATCATCATGACAATTTAACTGGCTCCTTCGTTCACATCCATCAAACCAACTCTCATTACTCCAATCTTTTGGAGATTTGGGATTGAACCCTTGCAAGCATTCACACCCAGGAGACTTATTGCTATTGCAGCACCCGTAATTCAATACATATCTTGACAAATGACAATACATAACTGCTTTTCAGTTGGTAATCCAGATAAACCTCACTTTCATTACATGTGAATTGCAAGGTCAACACTGAATTTTTCTTTCCTGGATTTCAAGTCAAAGTGAGACCATTCCATGATCCAACCTTGACACTACTGAGGATCCTTTTCTAAGAACCAACCACGAGTATCAAGAACAAGTGAGTACTCACCTGGGGCATGGTCTTCTGCACTCTTCCAAGATGATAAGAAAGTCTCCAACCCAGTAACTAGGTTCTTCCCAAGCTTCATTCTTTGTAGGTAAGTGTCACAATGATAATCAAAACTCTGCTACAAATAGGATTCTGGTTTCTACCATTGGAGTCTCTCACCACAAGATTTCCAGAGGCAAGAAGCTGTGCATATGCATCTTCTGCAGTTGCTAACGCATTTGAAGACCAAACAGTACTACCTGTGATGTTAACAAGGTTAAGGACACCCCCAGAAGTGATTTTGAGAACTCCTGAACCATCTCTAATAGGAGATTCTCTGTTGGCTACCCATGTAGCCACATATCATATTCCCAAGTATCGGTTTTTAGAGTTACCAGGGCTGAAGAATCCCAGTTCAAAGGTCCCTCCTGCCGAAACTAATTTGATAAGTTGATGAGGAGTAACAGTGTCTAGAGCTGAGAAGCTTGACATGAAGGTGAAAAAACCAGAAGACACAAACAGCCATATAAAGATTCTCATGTTTTTGCTTTCTTGTGACATGTTGGGGGAGATCGTTAGATCATAAAACAAAAGAGTTAGTCAAAGTGGATTCAAGGTTGGTCAATATAAAAAAGATAATATCATAAAACGGTTGGTTCAAATTCCATGATGTTTGGTAGAGCTACTCTGGAATATGTTTCACTTCTGAACTTGTCATTTTTTTTTATGCTCTGGATGCAATATAAACTACTTTAGAAAGAATAACCCTACACGCATACTTCCATACCCCTCACCACATATCAATTTAATTGATCAAATATGAAACATACTTTAACTATTAATTTACTAATTATTAACCACTTAATATACCTGAACTTAATCATAATTCTGAAGCATAATTATAGATAAATTGATAAATAAGAAACGATCATGCATATGAGGAAGACAAGAATACTTTAGGAGCGAAGATAGCTCGTCCGTGTAGGCGTGTACAGTGGATGCGTCTACCACTCGAACTTGCACTGTGGATGGGATTTTCCATCTGTGGCTTCGTTTATAGTACCAAATCACCAATCACATGAAATAAATTCCGTTTTACGTTTTAATGCCAAACCAACAAAAAAATAAAGTAAACCTTGCACACCTTTTCACTGTATAAACATACTTTTATTTTTATTTTTAATAAAAAAAATATTGTATTAAGATATAATATAAGAAGTTGTAAACGAAAATAAGTTATAAATATAATATTCCTCTTAATTTATTGTTAAAAAAAAAAAAGATATTAAGATGATCAGCTTTCTAATTCAACTACTTTTGCCAATAATTCCCAAATTGTAACTATTGATAAAAAGGGGCACCTGCCTTTCATATTTAATTGATCGATCAGATGCTAATAAATCAAAACTCCTGAGGCTCTGCTGGTTTCATATTTAACATAAGGGAGTTATTAATCTTATGTTACATAAGATAGATATCTTATGTGAATGAAACAAAGTTGTAAGATTCACAATTTTTAAAAAAATAAAAAAGGACAAAAAAAAATGGACAAAAAATTCTATGAGTGTGTAACATAAAACAACTATCTTATGTGACATAAGAAAATTATTTCCCTTAACATAATAGCAAAAAGGCAGCTAAAATGCCAGCCCATTTTTTTACTGATTCAATACAACAGAGGAAAAAATCATACCATGCCTTTGGAGAAAATTTTAACATGAATGTGTCTTATTACGATTTCTTATATATTGCCTTTCCAAAATACGACAGGCTCTAAGGAACGAAATAAAACTGCAATATGTTAGGTGGTAATAAGCCACATTGAAGCAAAAATCTAGTTGACAACAAAACAGCAGCAAGTAAATGAATACACAAGCAGATAATAAGTATAACAAAATTATGAATCATAAAAAAATTCCTCCAGGATGAAGATCGCTATGAACTTTTTTTAAGTGCGTTCATTTTATCCCGCAGGTAGTAGAGTTTGGCCCTTCTCACTTTCTTCTTGTCAAGCACCTTTATCTCCTTTATGTTAGGTGAATACCTATCAGACATAGCACAAAGCTCAGGCATTAACACCATTAAGCAATACGCTTACAAGAATAATCAACTGAAAATTAAAATATCACAACGTAAAACATCAAAACACAAAACTCAACACTGCCCCCTCCCCTCTTCTCCCAACCCAAAATTAAAGTATTTGATATTATAAAGCATATTACAGGCTGAAAAGGAAGAAAGACAAAAGATCATTAATAGTATAATCCCAAAAACTCATCCAAAGCACATAAAGAAACACATTAAGTTTAATCTCAACAAAAAAATAAAATTCAGTCTGAATACACACATCGAAGCAAAGTAATTGTTATAATTCTACAATAAAAAAGCAGCTCACTTTTTCCCTTCATAGATAATGCCATCACAAGGGATTCCATGCACGCACAAGCACAACACACATCAAATTTATATTCCAAAATGAAATCTCTTTCCTTTAAAGGAATATAATGTACGTATGGATAAGCTTTCAGGAAAAAAAAGTATGATGTAATTTTTTTTCATGAGCCACTCTTCCTAGCTTATGAAAAAAGCACTAAAACTGCTTTTTTTGGGTTTTTAGATTTTTTCAAAAAACTTATCTAATTATCTCATAATGTTTTAGGCATTTTTTAATTAAACAATTTCTTTAAAGAAAGAAAGAAAAAAAGCATAGACAAACGAACCCATTACTAGAATTTCAGATAATTATCATCACCACATTATCGGGTTCTCAGAGAAGCAACTCTTTTTATTATCTTTTATTTCTGTGGCCAAGTGAAGCAATTTAACTACGAACTCCTTAAATGCCAACAAATGTCTGTTACAAATGGGAAGTTAATACTTACAGTGGGAATAGAGACTCGATACCAACCCCAGCCACCTGCCTTCTAATTCTGAAAGTAGAATTGAGGCCAGCATTACGCCTTGCAATAACGATACCTTTTATAATAGAAGCACGCCTCTTGTTCTCAGGCACTTCCTGTTAAATCAGATGTAATAGTAACCAAAAGGTCATCTTATTATCATGAACAAAAACCAAACAAAGCACAAATGTGAATATAGCTTCAAAAACAAACTTCCGTACCACTTTGAGTTGCACAATATAACCTGGCTTTATATCAGGTATCTCTCTCTGCGTTCTCACCTCCTCTACTGCTTCCTTGTCTAAAATCTACAGGATATAATACCAACAATTTTTACAATTGATCAAAATGGATGTTCTTATTTAAAATAATACAGAGTAATCACATGCCTGCATAATGTGCCTGGCAGTTTTATCTAATCTTTTAAATTTGATGCGAGGAGGCACATCAGGCTCCGGAGCGGAACTATCCTCAGAGGAAGAACCAACAGAACTTGTCTCCGTTGACATAAACCTGCTGTGCAAAGGAGGTACAAGCGAAGCAGCCTGCTGAAACAAAGCCAGTCTTGAACTTCCTAGCACTGAGGCTAAACCATTACTGGACTCAAATCTTGAGAATGCCTCAGTCTGAGGGAATTTCCTAATCTGCACAAGAAATTAAGAAAAAAGCAAGCATCAATAAGAGCTTATAAGTTATATCCCATACAGGCAAAGTCTATAAACCAAGGTCACACTTTAAAAAACTAAAATGGAACATGGAAGCACCAAACAACATAAAACTAGAAGGGCTTTAAATACTTATGTCATCTTCAACTCATTTATTCATTCAACCATGAGCTAAGTAACAAGAAGGATATAACAAAGCATGCCATATAATTGTATGTGATATTATTATCTATAAATTAACAAGCTTCCAAACACACTTCAGAATTATATGACATCAATTGGTACACATACTATATCGTTACGAATTTATAATGATAAGATTATGTTATTCAAAAACAATAAGGTAAACATATATATTGCCATCTTCTTCACCCTAACCAAGCTTATCTCAATCTGCAAGTTCATTCCTGAAACCCTTAAAATTAAAAAATAAGAAGAAAAAGATAACGATTTTCTACATTACTTCGTTTAGCAGCAGCAGCAGCAGCACCATATCAAAATCAACCACAAAAAGAGTAAGGAAATGAATGAAATGAAGTGATGCTTACGGGAATCGGAGAAAGACGAGAGCTAAGGTCCGGGAAAGAGAATGGCCGGAAAGTGGTCGCAAGTTGGAATTCTGGCGGAGATCGACTGAGGGATGATCGGAGAAGAGACCATAAGAGCCTTCGTGAAGCCATTTCGGGTTCGCAGACGGATCCGAGCTGAAAGGCAAGGCTTAGGGTTTATGGTTTGCGCGCGTGCGCTGTGCCATTCGGATTGCGGATCTCAAAATAATCCGGTGGCCCGACCCGACGAACAGACGATATTTTACTATTCTACAATGGCAAAAAAAGATTAATATATTATTATTTTAATAAAAAATTATGAAAATATAATTATTTTGAACCAATTTGTAGATTTATTGCACTTAGTCAAACTCCTAGTGGGCGCTACAGCCACAACCTCTGCAAAGTCGCGCTCCACATCATGCAAGTCATCCGGTGACAACACGTGGCACATAAAAAGTCAACAGTTTGACTGTAAAACTTCGGAACGCGATAATTTTTTACTCAAGTGTTTGAATGAGGCATTTTTTTTATTTCACATTATTTTTTGAGATCTATGCACTGAAAATTTTCCAGAGGATTATTTGTTATTGTTGAAAAGTAAAAATTTAAATAACATCATTCACACGTATAAATATGCCAAATAGGGCACAAGGAAGCATTTTTTGTGAAATTTTTTTGACCATTTGCCACTCATAGCTCTCCAAAGGTTATATGGAATAAAAAAAAAGACCACCTGATTCGGATACTCAAGTCAAAAGTTATGGACTTCTGAAATTTTATGGTAAAATATCTCAAATTCGAAAAAAATTTGGAAATATTTTTATGACTAAATCTACTTCAATGAAGTGCGTAGATCTTTCAAAAAGTTATAAGGAACAAAAAAAATATCAAATTCGGACACCTGAGTCGAAAGTTATAGCCTTTCGAAGTTTTACGGTCAAAATATTGACTTTTTTGTGCCAGTGTCGTCACTGGGCGAGTCGCACCTGAGTGGGGCGCGACTTTACATAAGTGGCGTCTGTGTGAGGCGTGACTTGCTGCGCCAGAATGGAGCGCAACTGAGTACAATAGATCCATAAATTGGTTCAAAATAACTATATTTTCATAAATTTTAATTGAGGTAATAATATATTTATTTTTTTGCCATTCTAGGATTGTCAATGTTGAAAAATTTCAAAAAACAAATAAATAGTATTCATTTAATGCTAATATCTTCGATAACAAAATTTTTAGGGGTATGTTATATTTACAAACATTTTATTTATAAATTTGTACAAACTATATTATGTATTACCGGTAATACATTCGTAATTAAGTCTACTACTCATAGTACATAGTTGAGTTTGTAAATAAAAAATTTATAAATATAACATCTCCCAAACTTATATCTATAACAAAAAGAGAGTATAAATTTAGTAAATAGTATGCATTTAATGCTAATAATTCATTCTATTATATATGTATTTGAGAAATGAGAATGTTATACTTGTCACATTTTTTTCTTTTTCTTTTTGATACAATAGTAAGAATTGAACATATAATTTAATATAAACTGCCCAAACTCATCACTACTAGACTAATCTTAGTGGCTTATCACCTTTTTTCTTACCAATTCTTATTATCGCTTTTGTTATCGTTAGATCAAATTAAATCAACGACTCTCATTTAATGTTAATTTGTAACCCTTGTTTTGATTTTGATCTGACGATGATAAAGTTAGTAGTGAAAGGTTGTAAGAAAAAATAATAGTAACATTATCTCTTTAATAAATAGTATATAAGAAAAAAAAATATTTTTTATTTCTTTTAAATTATATTCTCAAGAAAAAATTATTTTTTGGAAAATATAAATAAATTAAATTTTATTAAATTCTTGTTTATCTATTTCTATTCTTCACACTAGATATAAATAAATAAAATATTTATGAAAATATTATTATGTACATCATCCATCTTATACCGCCTTTTATTTTTATTTTTTAATGTTAAAATCTCACGTCTCAAAGACTACACGATATCCAAAGGTTGTGAATTTGTATTCGAGTATTTAATAGGAACAGTGATCAAAATGTCACGTTTTGTAAAAAAATTTATCTAAATGTCACGCGAACAGTATTTTTTACTAGACTGTTGTAACACTCCGTGTATACCCGGTTTGTTAACATGTCATCGTATTAAGCCACGCTCTATTAAATATGCAAAATATCTTTTTCTTTTTGATTATGACGTCATTAAACTTAGCCAAGTTGATTACTTAATTATTTCATAAAAACATCGCCTGTATATAAATTGCAAAAGACAGCTAACTGAAATACCTCATAAATAGATAAGTGAGTATCTAAGTCACGGATCTACAACACGTAGTCCGGACAATATCCTGATACATTAATACAACTCATAACTAAATCATAACGTCAAGTCAATGTGGCATGGACAAACCTCATGCTCACTCTAAGAACCTGCACCGTTAATTAAGGAAGTTAATTAATTAATTATGAGAAATTAAGAAATAATTCCTTAATTGACCCTAATAATTATTATGAAGCTTAGATAATTATAGTAAGTGAGTAATAATGCTGAAAGTCGCTTTTCGGAAAAAAAAAAGTGCGAATACCGGTTCTGCTATTCGCTATAAATGCGTACCGATAAAGTATCCCGGAAAATTATAATAAGTGTGAGAATATTACTAGAATAATATATAGGACTTGTAAAACAAGTTTCAAGTAAAAATAATGAGAACTGGTGCCAGAACTGATACTGACTATGGAAAAGCGCGTACCGGAAAGGTGCTGCGAAAAATAATATAAAAATATGATAAATCTTATAAAATTGAGTAGGTTTAGAATCCTGAGTTTGGGATTAAAATGCTAAGTGTAGCTAATTATGATAATAATGTGTGTTTATGACTTAAACCACTATATATACTTATTTAGGGCACTAAACCCTAGGCCATAACACTATCCTACGTTACTTTTGGTGGCTGGTCAGTTTGTGCTCTACTCCTTGCTCCTCTTCACCATTTTGTGACTAAGTTGTCACCTTTTATTTGTTTTTCCTCCTCTTTCACCTTGTAAACACTTGAGTGGGTGTCTTGTGAGGGTGAGGTTCAGTTTTGCTGAGTTGAGGGTACTGTTTGGGGAAGAGTTTTGGGGCTGAGTTCCTTGCTTGAGTGGTTGGAGCTTTGTCTTGGTTGTGGGAGCTCCAAGTGGTCATCTTTGTGAAGAAAGGACCCACCTTGTAGTGCATTTTCGTGCACCATCTTAGTCTGAGTATTTGGAGCTGTTTGGTGAGCTCCAAGAGCACTCCCTTCTCTGTTTTGAGCCTTGGGTAAGTTGTTCAACCTTTGATCATGAGTTTTAATGGTTAAAAGAGGTGTCTTGGCATGTTTAATGAGTTAAACAAGTAACCAACTGTTATATGAACTTAAAAGAGGTTAAAAATGCATGCTTGAACGTTGGAATGGGTTAAAAACCCAACCTTTGGAAGGATATCTCGCGAAATGTAGAACTGCATTCTATCGCGAAATATCCGGATATGGATATCCAGATATGAATATCCGAATATGATATCCGGATATCGATATCCGGATATGGGGATCTGAATATCCAGATATTGATATCCGGATATGCCCTTGAAAAATATCCGGATATTCTGGGTTTTTGAAGAACAGTAGCTGCACTATTCATACAGAATGATGTTTGGGGTTTGTGGACCTTAGACTGGTTAAGTTGAGCTTCTGTATTGATTAGTTAAGTCAGAATCTAAGTGATTAAGGGCTTGTAGCTTTGTGAGAAGCCTTAAAACATGAAATGTAAAAGAAAGACGTTGTCATTGTGCCTTGTACTTGTTGAGTATGATTTTGATATGATTGTTGGTCCAAAACAGATTGAGATTCTGCTGTGTTTGGGCTTTGAGATTGGTTGGACTCTTGGCTTGGATTGTTAGCTTGCAAGGTAAGCTTTCGTGTCCTCGGTTTAGCCATTGTTGGTTCCACCATGTCCCATGGGGGTATGGTTATATGCATGATGTTGTTTTCATGATATATTGATTTGTGAAATGTTGTTGAGCTGTTTTATGCGAGTGCCTTTATGATATGCATGTGGTGTTCCACCTATACGGTAAGCTTGAGTATATGGTACATACAAGAGGGTGAGGCTGTGGGTGAGGTGCAAGCAGTGTTCCTTGTATTTATTGTGGGGTTGTAGACGTACGTCATGCATTTCTCTGACCAGTAGAATAGTTAAAACACACATGGCATTAATATATATTGCACTGCATAGTTTTGGAACTTATATTGTAAATGCTTTTGAACTAATATTTCTCGTGTAAGTGAGCTTGGGGTGGAAGATCCTTGAGGACCCCTTGTCTTACTGAGATTTCTTTTTAGAGATCTCACCCCACGTTTGGGGCACATATTTCAGGTTCAGGTAATGCGGGGGTTGAGACCTCCAGCGGCAGGAAGCCGGAGCTTAGCTGATTATATGTTGTTATGCTGCTTGTGTTGGATGCTGGATATTGACTTTTGCTTTTTATGCTTTTAGCTTCATGATGTTATTGTTGAGACTGTTGTGGAGCTTTGTTGCCTTATTTGGTGAGCATGGGGATTGTCCATGCCACTTTGACTTAACTTTATGCTTAGTTGTTTCTAGTTGTAATTAATAATGTATCAGGATATTGTTAAGACTATGTGTTGTAGATTCGTGACTTAGATACTCACATATATGTTATGAGGTATTTCAGTTAGTTGTCTTTTACAATTTACATACAGACGATGTTTTATGAAATGAATTAAGTAATTCAGCGTGGTTAATGATAATGACATCATAATTGAAAAGAAAATGATATTCTGCATTTTTAAATTAAGTGTGGCTTAATACGATGATGTGATAACAACCGAATATATACGGGGTGTTACACTCACCAAATAGACTACAAAGCCAACAGAGTCTCAACAATAACATCAAATGAAGCTATAAGCATGATATCAATAGACATAAACCAGCATCCAAGTACAGTCAGCATAAGCAGATAAACATCAATCAACTAAGCTCCGGCCTCCTGCCGCTAGAGATCTCAACCCCTGGGTTACCTGAACCTGAAATAAGCGCCCCAAACGTGGGGTGAGATCTCTAAACAGAAATCTCAGTAAGACAAGGGGTCCTCAAGGATCTTCCACCCCAAGCTCACTTACATGTGCAATATAAGTTCC